GTAAAATTACACAAGGCATGCATATAGAGTTGATATAGGAGATAGAGTGGCGGACAAAGGAGGTCAAAAGCTTCCATTTCTAACCATAGTAACGTACAATATTCACAATTTCACATCACATAATTCCAATCAAACAAGTAAGTTTTGCCAAAACATATAACTAATTAACTTCAAAATTTGTGCTATCATCAAAAAAACACAACAAAAATTATACTCCATGTTTAAACGAAATTTATGTATATGTGTATGATACTAAACATTTAACAAACATAACAAATTAGCAAGCAAACAAAAAACAAATCGCATAAAAGTATTACACAGCGAAGAAACCCTAATTCAACGGTTTACCTAGAGAAACATAAATTCATACAATTCATCATTTTAAAGAACATATAATTGAAATTCTGACAAGATATGGAATAAAAAGAAAAAAAAAACCATACTGAGCTTGTGTTGCCCCGCCGAAATGCTGTGCGCTTCCTTCTTAAATCTATTAGTATGTTGATCAGGTGTTTTACTCTGCGAACAAGCACTAGCAAGATATGCCTCTATCTTAGCTTTCACACTCCTTTTTTCCTCCTCAAGCATTGCCATTCGAAGCTTGAGAGCCTGATAGTCGTTTTCCTCATAGATGCCCTTCATTATTGGTGCAAAACGATCCTACATCAAATACCATTGTACAAAAACAAAGAGTCCTTTAAAGTGGCTTCATAACCAACCATCTTTTCATTTCCTCAAATTAATGGTAATTTAAAAAAAAAAATCATTAAATTAGATGACTACAAGTAATTCTTAACTTGAGAAGGCACAAGTTGAAGGCTTCACCAAAGTTCACAGACTTAATAAAAATAATCCATAGGGCTCAAGAGTGAAATCAATTCTGGCACTTATAAATGAGTTATAGTAATAATAGTACCAATTAAGAATCACCTTATTCACAGAACATGAGCACAAAATTTTTTATGCTTGGCAACATTCTTTGTAGTCCTCAAGTTGGATCGAGACATTGTTCCCACTCGCACCATCCCTACGAGAAGTAAAGTAGTAATGAATTTAACAAAAAGATAGTATATACTTGGAAGAAATAAAAAACACAACAATATCAGTTCATAAAATCACCAAAAAGTACTTGGCATTAAACAAAATAAAATAAAATAAAGCTTTGAACATGATAAACGCTCACAGTTGCACCCCTTCCAATATTCCCTATACCAACCTAAACTCCCACACTTCTACCCCTCCCTATCTTCCTTCTCTTTCCTTATAGTATAACATTAAAGATAACATATAGTTCTAATGTTCTGTAAATAATCAAACCTAAGTGTGAGATTTAGACCAAAGATCAAATGATCATCCTCTAGAACAAACTCCTGCACCTGCCACCGAGCCTTTTCCCAAACCAATCAATGCACCCCCTTTAGACAGGGGAAACTTCTATAATATTCACTCATGTCATATATACTATAGCTAGTGTATATTATAATACCTGACTTTTTTGAATTATGTTTCATAAGCAATGTTTTTTTTCCCTTTTCTCACCTTAATCTTTGACTTGTGAAGATGACGCTTTCTTACTCTCAGAATTCTTTCTTATGCTCTCAAATTTTTGTAATAATGCACCAAGTTTTTCCTGTATCCCATTGTAATTTACAATTCCATGTAAATAACAAATCCAATCAAGATGTTTCACAACATCTATTGATGTTTTAGAATATTTAATAACCCCTCCTCAAAACCAATAACTTTTTTATCTCGACCAACGATACTAGCATGGTGAGATAGTATACACAGTCCTAAATTTCACCTTTCTGATTTAACAATGTTGCTCCATAAGATCCAGCTGCAACTGCTAAGTCCATTGCAATTAGAAAACCTAGGTCACCTCTTTAAATATTTCCACCATTAACATTAGGGTTTGATATATATCCTTTAACATAGTTAAGAAAATGAACACTATATGGGCACGAACCTATTAAAACCTTCAATCCTACTGGTTGAGCATTGAGATTAAACTCTCTCGATTCACTTAAATTAGCCGCCTTAGGCTCAAAACCATATAATAAGGAAATTATTTTCTTAGCTCATTAATTGTTTCATGTTCATTAATGAGCCGTAAATGTGAAAAGAGAAGTTTTGCAAGTAAAAGAAACGGAAGAAGTAGAAGATTATAAGTTTACATTAATTTGTTATATACACCCGGGTACACCGTACACGCAACTAACCCAAATTTAGTTTTTGCTTTTGATGATTAAATGAAAACAATTATTAAAATGAGAACAAAATACTCATGGTGTACGGTGCACCCGAGTGTATGTAACAATCTCTCTAAGCTTACGGCTTATCTATGTTGCACTTTAAACGAATTATGCGATGTGAAATTGTGAATCTTGGTGTAAACTCATAATCGTAAACTCAATGAAGATTCTCAACTCTTTTCTTTTAATAAAATCAACATAAAACGAATTATATTAAAATTATTGATAAATTAACAAATTACGTGAAACTATCTCTCTATAAACATGATATACGCTCACTTTGGAAGTATCTGTGCTAAAGTAAACATGAAGAACGCAGTCGCGGCGAAAACTCCACCTACAACCTCTCTGTTGTTACTTTTGTGCTGAAACAAACAATAATAACACATTATTATTATTATTTAAAGGTTGAATATAAAACACGGTATATAATTATTAAACTTACCAAAGGTTGAACATAAAACTACCCTGAGACAAATAACGTAGTAGTAAAAGCCACGGTAAAGATGACCATGTACGCCGTGAGACTCAACCTGTAAAAACAATTAATTATTTATATTTTAATAAAATATAATATATGCCGACTTTTAATGTCGTAGAATTCTGAAAATTAAAAAGTCTACCTGAAGCAATCTCGTAGCCTACGACAGAGTTCCAGCATGAATTATACTTGAATACGAAAAACAGAGTTTGTAATATAAAAAAATACACGTAAATTAATCAAAATAAACAGAAATACGATATTAAGAATCGAATATCACAAGAAATCTAAAGAACAAAGATAAAAACTGAAGCTCAACATAGGGGAGATGGTGGCTGGGATGTGGTTGCTGGTTTTTAGTCATTGGGGTTAATTTTTTTTTAATTTTTTTTTCTTATATAAATAGAAATCTAACCATAATAATATTTAATGAAATAAGGTTATGAGTGCGATAGAAATTTTTAACTAAGGTCATATTTATAATAAAAAAAGAAAAAATTTATGGGAATAATCCCACCTTTACTCCTAATCTGCTCCCAATGTTCCCTGGTGATTAATAAGGTAATTTTTTTTATTAAGTTTATTTTATACGTGTCACAATTTGATTTGTCCAAAATTAAAAAAAAAATTAACAAAAAATAAAATCAAATCAAATAATTCTTTTTTCTTCCTTTCGTCTTCTTCCCTTTCCACCTCCATGAAAGCAGGCTCCATTTTTGCCCAGACCTCCGCCCACCACACCTCCACCGCCACCTTTGGCAACCCTTGAACCCTCATCTCCACCACCGGAATTTCCTGTTCCCCGACCCCACCACCGAAAACCTATTCCTTCCCTCTCCCCGAAAACCGCCCCTTCCCCTCCACCACCAAAATTCCGGCAGCCCACCCCCCTCCGACCAACCCTTTTCTTTCCTCCTACCATTCTCCACCATAAATTCCGGCAACAACCAAATCTGGCAAACCCGAGGAAGTACTAAAATTCATCACAAAAATTTCTCAACTGCATTGTTCATCATCAATCATCACATGCAAAAAATAAACTCCTCAACAACACTCGCCACCACTTTCCACTTTCCACCATTAAAATTACAACCACCATGAAATTCAAAGCCACAAGACAACCCTTGTTGGAATCCGACCTTAACAGGGCCGAAATTGGCCGGAAAAATTCTTTATTTTAAAATATGATCTACAACTGTTGGATTTAATTAAAAACTGAAATTGGCATAGGAATTGCGTGGGTTCGCCGCCACCACTATCAGATCTTCAATTGTTGGTGGTTTCCAGATGAGAGATTTTCGAATGGCCGTCTCGGTTTCGTGGGTGAAGGTGAAGAATGAGGGTGGGTGGTCGTGGTTGGTGAATGGGGTGGCTAAGGGCAGGGGAAAAGGAAAGAGGAAATAAAAAGATTTTTATTTTTGTTATTTTTTTTTCTGTTTTTTTTCTATTTATTTTTTATTTATTTTATTTTTTTGACCAATCACAGGTCGCCACGTGTCAGGTAACTTGTTATAACAGGTTAATTGACCGGTTGGGACCATTAAAAAAGATCGGGGGGTAAAGGTGGGATTATTTAAGAAAATCCCAAAAGTGGGATTATTTAAAAAGAAAGCCCCAAAGGTAAAAATATTCCCATGAATTTTTTTAAATTATTAACACTAGAATTGATTAGAAGGAGAGAGAAAAAAACTTCGAGCTCTATTAAGAATTGATTATGACGTAGATGATGAAGTTGCAGGGGAAAGAGAATTCATCGATTTCTTTTGTTTGGGGTTTTACGGGTTAAGGTCTGGGAGTGTGTAGACTGGGATTGCTGCTTGATGGGTTTGGTACGTGATATTTTGTGGTCCACCCAAGATTTTTTGAAATATTAAAATCCTAAATAAAGATAAACTAATTGTAAAATTCAGTTATGATTTAGGAAATACGAGTAAATCCCAACTATCATAGAGGACTAAGTTTGTGTGGCTATACTTGTTTAAAGAAGTAATTCTTATTCATACATCATAGTAACCTCATTTATTCTAAAGGGTAACTTTATCTTGTCCACACCATAATTCATCATTCGATTAAAATACAGCTTACCGAGATACTTTGACTCTCTTTAGGTTATATATGTGAAAAGACAAATAGTCATATATATTATTTGATTTGTAACAATGTGTCCTTTTTTAAATATATAATTTTGATAATTTCTTGTACTCGTAGCTTGAGATAAAAACGTCTCAAATCATGCCTTATAAACTGTGAAAAAGCAGCAAGTAAATGCAACTAAAAAGAAACATAGGTGTGGTTGGGAGTGCCACTGCGTTAAAAGAGTGTTTAAAGATTGAAAGACAGTGTTTGAGCTTTAAACAATTGCCAAAAGATTCAACTCATCGATTCAATAGGGATGGTGAAAACCTACGCTCCGTTCTACTAGCAGTCTTTGTTGGTGTCAGAGATGAATTTGATCAGTGAGCAGAGCCCGCCCAAGAAGTTATGATCAAGAATGCCGTTGCCTTCAATAACAAGAGCAAAATCAACAAGCTTGATTGTAGGTGCCGCCTTTTTACCTTCCAGAAGTGATCCCTTGTCAAAAACAATCAAAACTGAGCTCGAATAGAAGTGGTAAATTGTTTGCTCCTCAAACCATGACTTAAGCTCCTGCAACTGTGCCAAAATGCCAGAAGAACCACCATAGACAGTCGAAGCAAATTTACAATCCGGTTCTTTTTTGAAATCTGATGCTTGATTTGATGAGACAAACTTCCTCAAAACCAACTTGACATCGTCAGCTGTATAGGTTATGGTCAGCTTTCGATCAGGCTTCCAATACCCTAAATCTTGATTCTCGTAGATTTGCATCCCTGATACCCTGAAACCCAAATAAAGGCTAGAGGTTTCTCTGTCTTTTTTGAAACATTTGTCAATGTACTCATCCGTGGCTTCAGGGTACCAAGTTCGAGAACCAATCTTAAAATCAATGATGGAGGGATTTGCATATTTTGACATTAAGTTTTCCATAACAAGATGAGGAAGGGGCCCAGATTTATCAGAAGCCTCAAGAGTCTGGGTGCCAAAAGATTTGGGGAAGAATTTGCGGATGTGATCAGGCACTCTGTCATCAGTTAATAATGTCTTGTAGAAATCAGCCTCTCTTAAGCCCCGATCATCCTTGAGGGGCTTGTAGAATAAGCCTGATTCGTCTACAAGTGGCCCAAGCTGACCATTAAGAGCCTGGTGTCCGGCAACCTGGTGATCTGGGATCTTAAACAATGGCACACTTTTTGACATAGCTACCAAAATTTCAGTAATATTCCTGCAGAACAAAGGAAACCAATACAGGATTCGGGATTTAGAATACCATCATCTCCATACCCTTTGGTCAACATAAATTGGTCATATGTCGGTAAACTATATTTGACAAATCTAAACTGTTTTAACTTGGTTTCTATGACATTAAAGAAAAATAATTCATGCAATGCAATCTTCAAGTCAATCTGAAAATTTAAGCAAGTTCTTCACGACAACTCATTTCTCTATGGTTTCAACTAATGTCGTACACTCTAAAACACGACTGCTCTGCCTCTCCTCAGGAACAGGTGTAAAAGTCAAGTATGCACCATAATACAGCTAACTAATGCTTGGAGACATATTTTCATTATAATTTTGTACACTCAACCTCAGCAGTCAGCAGCTTCCATCTAACCCTTTAGTCAAATGAAGGCTTGTCCACGTCTAGGAATCTAGGATAAAGGTATACCCTTGAGCAGGGAAATCAGTAAGAAGTTAAGAACCACATAGACACCACAGTGATGTAACATCTTCCTCCCTATTTCTTTGACATTCAAGAACATATGCTCATCTTAAATACATCATCAAGAACAACAGTCTCAATTTGGGTTGGGTTTTCTTCGAGCTAAAAGTGATCCTTAAAGATAAATTACTCTAGGAAGGCTAAAGTGACATCCTACTTAAACAACACATCAAGAATACAAGAATCAATGCAAAGCCAACCACAAAAGATAATGTTTAGCGAAGATAACGAATTACAGCCTTTTCAGTATATCCTAATACAAGAATCAAATAAGGTCAACAAAACTCTAAAGCTAACTCCCACCACATCCACCCCTCCTCCCCCTCTTCTATTTCAAAAAGAAAAAAATTGAAGCCTGTGTGCATGATAAATACAAATCCAGGGACGTTTCCAGAATAACAGTGAGGGACATTATCCTGACAATTAGTTTCTGACAAAACCGATTACCTAGTAGGCTACTAGGCTAGTACGCAATCCAAAAACAAAAAAAAAAAAAAAATCCATACAAGCCAAATCAGTTAGACAAAAAGAAGAATAAGTGGATAACTAAAAGGAAAATTAGCATCTCATGTCTTCCGTACTTCAAACACAGAACGCTTGAGCACAAAAACAAAAAAAAAACTGTGTTTAAGCACCAATGTGCCAAAATCAAGAATACAGGAGAGCCTTGTGCAGAAGATAATCCTCAAATTAGTAGAAGATTATCCTCAAATTAGTGCTCACACGCGGCACGAGACAAATGCATAAATTTGGTAAGTCAGGAATAAAAATTCAAGTTTTGCATTCAAAATACAAATTAGAGATATGGAACAGAAGAACAAAAGGCTACCAACTGAGATGTTAACATTATTATATATCCTAATAGCTAACAATATATCCTAGTAGCCATTTCAACCCAATAGATCCCTTGACCATATCATCCGCAAATCCATTAGATCACCTATTGGGCTATTGACCATAACTCCATCCTCCAACACAAAAAGTCGCTTATTGATTTCGTCTTCTGACCATTCTCAATTTCTCATGATCCACAAAGGCGACATTTTAGAAAAGAGTTTCAAACCCGGCTCTTTGAACCCGCTTTCTTAAGACTTTACCAATTAAGCTACTTCGACAAAACAACATAAACCCACATCTTGAATATGAACAACAAAACCCCACCTCTTGTCCTTATAACCTTAAGTACAACTGACATTAAAACAACTAGGCAACACACAAGGTATCAAATGAAGTTTTGAAAGGGCTTTATACACATCTAGAACTTCCTAGATTGGCATTAGTGGGACCTACAATAGATTATGTCCTTAATTAAGTATAATTAAGGGCATAAACAACTAATTAATCTTGATCCTTGGGATCTAATCTCATCTCTTCATCTCACATTTTAATCATAAACAAAAGCAAAACTTACTTTAAAATTTTGCACAGCAAAAAGCTGTTACCTTTTACCTGCCCATCTAAACTTTACAATAATTCCAAGCAACAATTTAAATAATTTGTAGCCTCTCGGGAGAATCAATGACTGCATATTTGTTTGCGCATGTAATCAAGAAATGATTCAAAACTCATTAAATAAAAAACCCAAAAAGAATTCAATTCAATAAATAATCAAGAAATTAAAAAAAAAAAAAAACAAAAAGAAAAAATTCTGCAAAAATTTCACATGAAAGCAAGAATTAAAATGTGAGAAAAAAAAAGTAGCAAGAGAGTAGGAATTATTCAAAACTCATTAAATAAAAACCCAAAAAGAATTCAATTCAATTCAATTAAATAAATAATCAAGAAATTTAAAAAAAAAAAAAAGAAAAAGAAAAAAATCTGCAAAAATTTCACATGAAAGCAAGAATTAAAATGTGAGAAAAAAAAGTAGCAAGAGAGTAGAATGGAAACTAACAGAGAAATCCCAGAAACTAGAAACGTTTCTTGTAAATTCTGAAAGTAGAGTTGCTGCTATGGCTAAGCCTTTTTGATTATTTAATTTTCACACTCTCTCTTTAACTTTTGCATAAACTGGGCAGAAAAAAAAGGAGAGAGAGAAGAAGATCTGGGGATTTATTAATAAATAAAGAAACGGACCTTATAATATACGGAAAAAGACGTGAACAAAGGGACCACCTTTCGCGCTATTGACGCTAATAGTGATTAGAATATTAATAGGATTTTAGGAATTTAAAAACTTTCTAGGTTCGTCTCATCTCATAATGTACTAGCATTATGACATACAGGATGTTTCACGCATTTATAATAAAAAATGGGATTTTTGACAAAAGTAAGCTTTTGTGGGAAAATATTTACGAAAGTGGTGTCGTGTCAAAAATATTTCCCAAACTAAGCTTCTGGGGTGAAACGCTGTCTCGGACAGCGTTTTACCCCCAGTTTTTTATTAAAAAAAAATTCAAGAACTAAAACGCTGTCTGAGACTGCGGTTTATGTATTTGATTTTTTCTCAACCTTCGTATTTCAAATTTTAAATACAAAATACTTTTAAATGAAACGCTGCCTCAGGCAGCGTTTATTATACAAACATAAAGCGTTGTCTGAGGCAGCGTTTTGTTCTGTATAATAAACGCTGCCTCAGGCTGCGTTTCTTGCGGGACTTATAACGAATTCCAGTGGGTTTTCTTGTCAATCTCACGAAAGCAACTTACACTCTCTCTCACTAACTCTCATTCTCACAAACACCGAACCACCGCCCTTGCCACCACCGCCCTTGCCACCACCGCCCCTGCCGCCGCGAAAGTGACCTAAAGTTGTTGCCGGCATTGTCTCACTCACTCACTCTTTAAATCCGGGTAAACCCTAAATTCGTAGTACAATGTTGAATTTTACATTGAATAGTTGGTAGTTGATAGATGTTGTATGTTGTAGCACATTGTGATGTAAATTGTATTATGTTGTTGATAATTAGTAATAAAATGTGGAAAATTATTGGTAATTATTGATGAAAATGTGGTACATTGTTGAGGAAAAATGTGGACGAAATTGATGATTAAATTGTCGACGAAATTGTTGATGAAATTGTGAATGATAATGTGGTTTGTTGTTGATGAAATTCTTGATGAAATTGTTGATGGTAATGTGGTTTACTATTGTGAAAATAATGATGAAATTGTTGATGGTAATGCGGTATTAGTATGTTGATAGTTGTATGCGGTAGTAATAGTTAATGAAATTGGTGATGAAAATGTTGATAGTGAGAATGGACTTGTTTCATTGTTGTCATATTAGCTACACATGTAGGTTATCGAAATTTGATATGACTTTCCATTGTGAAAGCTATGTATGTTATGTATAGTTAAATAAAGGTTTTTATACGTTGGTTTAGAATTCGATTATTACTACAGGCCGGGGATATGGGTGCGATGGTTGATGCACTTTCAGATGCCTTAGCAGGCGTACCCACCAGAGCCCAGGTCGAGCGGGTGCGAGATATGGGCACACATAGCTTGCAAAGATTTGGCCATGGCCATCTCGTCCACCCGAGGGACGATCATGGACGCAACTCATTCCATTCACAATTCGACTTCGGACAGAGCAGTGGCGCAGATGATTTCCATTCACAGTTCGACTTCGGACACAGCAGTGGTGGAGGTGATACGACGGGGTCCACACAGGCAGAGGATTACTTCATCCATAACACCGCTCCCGGCCACACCCAGGATGACACATCATCTAGCCAGCTGACTCCACCACCCCCGCCCCGAAACCCATTCACCACCATTCGGCAATACGCGAGGCATCTTCGTAGACGGGGGGAGGACACACAGGATGGAGATCAGTTGCCTCCAATACATGAGTCCGGATAGTTTTAGTTAGTTGATCTTTTAGTAGTACTCAGATATTTAACAATGTTGTATATAACGCTTACATTATTAATACAAGAAATGTTTTTTAAACGACTCTGTGTACAACTTGAAGTTTATTTACCTTATTTGTCCGAATTTGACTGTTGTCCACTTATAGTACCGTTTCACGGTGGTTGTACTGTTGTTGGGGTTGTTTCCGATGTTTCATGGTTGTCGGTGGTGGTGGGAATGCTCTTGCATTGTTCAGGGTGTTTTGCATTGCATAGGGTTGGTCGAGAATGGCGCCCAGTGGTGGGGGTGGTGGTTGGTGGTTGTGGTGGTGGTGGTTGTCGTTGGTGTGAGTGGTGGTTGATGGTGGTGGTTGTGGTGGTGGTGGTTTTCGTTGGTGTGAGTGGTGGTTGATGGTGGTGGTTGTGGTGGAGGTGGTGGTTCATAATGGTGAGGGTGGTGGTTGGTGGTTGTGGGGGTGGTGGTAGTCGGTGGTGGGAGTGGTGGTGGTAGTTGTGGTGGAGGTGGTGGTTGATGATGGTGTGGGTGGTGGTTGTTGGTGGTGGTGGATGGTGGAGGTTGATGGTGGTGGTACTGGCTGAGGCTGGTGTGCAGGGGCAGCAGCAGATGGACAGGAACAGCAGCTAGCTGTTGTTGATGCAGTCCAGCAGTAAAACGTTGCCTCAGGCAGCGTTTTATGTAGTGAATAAAACGCTGCCTTAGGCAGCGCTTTACTGTAAAACATAAAACGCTGCCTGAGGCAACGTTTTACTCTGTATACATACATAGTAAAATACTAAAATACCAACAGAAAGTCAAACTAAATAAACCGCAGTCTCAGACAGCGTTTTAGTTCTTGAATTTTTTTTAATAAAAAACTGGGGTTAAAACGCTGTCCGAGGCAGCGTTTCACCCCAGAAGCTTAGTTTGGGAAATACTTTTGCCACGAGACCACTTTCGTAAATATTTTCCTAAATAAGCTTACTTTTGTCAAAAATCCTAAAAAATGATCTTAAAAGTATAACAATTGAGTATTAAGGAATTGAAAGTTTGTGTTTTAAATAGAATTGGCAAGAAAAACGATCTTACAAGTACAACAATTGAGTATTAAGGAAATGAAAGTTCGTGTTTAAAAGGAATTGACAAAATGACATTGGAACATCTAATATGCTTGGATACTTGCTCTCTCATGTAGCGTATTAGGAGTTGGTATGATGGTTTTTTCTTTAGATTTTAATCAGGACAATTCTTAGAATTTACAATATAACCACTTTAAAATTAACACCAAAAAATAACTTCATTTATAACTTTCATTTTTATTTACATGTTTGAGATGGCTTTATTTACCTCTAAACATAAATATTTTTCGTGCATTACCACAAATTCACTCTAGGGCTTATCAATGTACAATTCTCATACAACTCTGTATTGCTAGTTACCAAGTACATCATGGTCTAGTGATAAGGATTGAGTCTTTCAATCTTGAGAATTGGGGATTTAATCTCCATTAGGGGCACTTTAAGAGTATTTCCCGTACCTTCCCCCATATCCTCAAATTGTCTAATTCGCAAACTTGTGAAAGTTTTTAGTAGAAGCCCTATTATATTATAATGTACTTCGTATTATGTATTAGATCAATGAATTCAATATTTTGAAATATATTTTAAACATTACAATAATAAATCTCATCAATTTAAAAAGTTTTATAACATGAGCACCACATTATATTTAAACCATTAATATTACCGTCTTTTTTATCACCTATTCACCTGCCAAACATCCAACAATACAAGGTTATCTACTAGTATTTACCATCATTTTTTTAATCACCTACTAAAGATCCAACAATGCAAGGTTATCCCATAAAAATAAACTTACTAATGAAAAAAAATAAAAAAATCAAATTAGATAAACAAATTGGTCATTAATATATACCTGAAGTTAGAATTTTAATGTACAAAATATCTAATCAAGTTCATACTTCAAAATAATAGAATAGCGGAGTTTTTGGCCACTAGGGAAATAGACAAAATATGGGCCATCAACTCATCAACATGACTCCATGAGTGTTTGTCACAAAGCATAATTGATTGACATGTTAAGTATCTACAACTCGATCCAGACAAGCATGTATCAAGTAGCTTAATTGCCTTAATGTGACAAATTGGTTGCACCAAATTTTGCAATATATTTCTACAACTCTATATACCAATTTCGAGAAAATTATCATTAATTAATCACGTTAATTTTTCAATCTAAAAGAAGATAACGCATCAGAATAGGTGTTGTGATATTGGATAATTCTAATAATATATGCCTTATTTGTGACCAGTAAAAAATTAAATGACTCATAGTTCATCGGATTTTTTTTTTTTGTTTTGAGGTGGGGGGAGAGGTCGAGACGAGGGATCGAGCTCATATTTTGGGGCCGTATTCTAAAAAAAAAAAAAAACACACACACACTTGCTAATTTTCGGTATTTTTAGGGATGATTATGAAAAGAGAAGTTATAAAACCTAAAATTGAGCTTAATCTTAGCTAACCCGAACTAGGATTAATCTAATATGACGAGTTGATGACCCAAGTGTCTAGGTTTGACCATTCAAATTTTAGTCTTTTAATGCCCAACTTCATAGTCTTCTATTATAGGTACAACAACTATAGAATAGAAAGACTTTCTGCATAAAAGGCAAACAGATCAAGTCTTATAATATAAAATGAATGGCATAAGCAAAACAACCAAGTTAAATCACACCATATGATCTAATTCTTCAGCAGATTATGCAAATGAACACAAAGCCAGTTGAAAAGGTATACTCAGTACAGAATTTTTATGATATTGGACTTAGCCATTTCATAAACAGTTAACGGCGACATGCCTATCAAATTCATAATTTCACAATTGCTATTCGCAAAGATAAAAATAAAAATAAAAATCTCTATGGTTCGACGAAGTGAACATTGACCACCAAAAAATTCTAGGTCATTACAACATGAAGAAAATATGAGAAAAATCAAGCTAAACATAACTGTCCGCTTATTCTATACAAGAAAATTTTGTTTTTGTTTTTTGTTTTTTGTTTTTTTTTTTTCCTGGAATTTCCTTACCAAGATATTCTGCAAATGTTTTAAGTTGGAGCCCTTCGGTATCTCATATTTCGATGAGCATGATATCACACCCTCCAACTCTGTTGCTGCAGTTTTTTATTAGCAGCCTATGAAAACTTTGAAACACATTGAAGCTTCTGGTGCCTGTATCGATTAG